GGCTTGGAATCAGGAAGGCTCCTCTTCATGAATCCAAATCCAGCCTCAGTCACTTAACCTTGTTTAATCCCTAGTTCCTCATCTGTAAAATGAGCTGAAGAAGAAAATGGAAAACCACTCCAGTATCTCTACCAAGAAAACCCTAAATGGGGTCATAATCGGACATAACTGAACAATAACAAATACAGTAATTGGGTCTAGTCCAATGGAAATATGCAATGTAAATTCAAATAATGCAACTATTTCAGGAGAATTCATTATTGACACCAATTGGAGACCTTGCTATAAATAACAGCAAGTTGGTATCTGCCCTCAAGGAGCTTATGTTCTAATGGGAGAAGAGGATGCTTACAGAGGCTAGAATGGTGGTGAATACCTGGTAGCATGGTTTGGAAATGATGCTTTGGAAATGACCTGGCAACCTGGTTTCAAGCAAGATAAAGAGAAAACTTATACACCAGATCCTGGAACTCCAGAACAAAATATTTGCATGAAGACCAGGTTTGAATCCAGGGCAATAGAAAACACAAGTTGAAAAGATTAAAAAAAATTAGAGCTATTTGTTAATTGATACCTTAGAGCTTCAGGCAATAAATTGTGACTGAATTAATTTTAGTTTGTCCGGAACAAATTTTTTTTTTCTCTGTTTAGCATTTAGATGCTAAATACCCTGCATTTGAGCCCAGTGTTAATAAGGAAGGAGGCATTTCTAAAAATGATTGCTCAAAAACTTTGTTTGAAGCAAAGGTATATTTTCAAAGCATAATAGCACACTTCGTTGAAAAGGCATAGATCTCTCTCACTTCTTCAGCAGCCAAACCTTGATGGTGGGAATGAAATTAGCACTGAAAGTATTAAAATATTGATAACAATCATTCCATGTCCAGGCTTTGCCAATTAATAATTAATTTTACCTTGAAGGTAAGTGTGCGAGTCAGACTTTGTTTTTTTTTCTTAATGCTTTCACTCGGCAAGATGTTTGACTTTCTCCCCAATGTTATCAAGTCTCTAGCAAATAACTCACATTTTATGTGGTTAGTGGCTGGAATTTATTTTGTGTGGCTTCATAAAATGAGAAAAAAGATTATGTTGTGAAAGGTTTACAGAAGGAGTGAGTTAGTGATCTCTCTGGCTGATTTATATGGAGTATCAATAGATTCTTACTGTGTTATTTCCTATTGTGTATTTTCCATAGAGTCGCTCTGGCTTTTAAATTTTTTAAAGGGACATTTCCAAAAGCACAGAGCAACTGTATTTACCTTGTGTATGCTAACAATTACGAAAGTAGTCCACATGTGCCAGAAAATGGTTGTTTTCTCCCTGAAATTGAAAGGATTTCTTGGCTTTTTTTATTTGGTGAACTGCTTGGTCTTAGGCAGTCTTTCCCAATACCCTCCTGCTTCTGGTACGCAGTGAACAAAATGTCCCTCTCTTAGTCAGCCTGATGGGATTTGGGAGTTAGCAGAGCTTGTCTTATGTAAGGGTTGATCTTGCTCAAAACAGCTGGTATCAACACATGCCCTGATGAGTTTGATACTTCTAACAGCTGTCCATTTGTTCAGGGTTCCTTTTTGCATTGGGGTGCTTTAGGGATTCCTATTTTAAGAAACAAACAGTTGTTTAGAAGACAAAGGCAGTCTTTCACCAAGCAGGGTTTCTCTAGCATGACTGTGATTATACAAAGAAAATTGCTTACTTCATTTCCCCAAATTGAACAGCATATTTGTAGTCTTCAGACTTCATGCCTAAGTGTTTTCACTTTGCAAAGGACCAGTCCTTTCCTTTTTAAGCTTTGACTATTGTAAATATACACCTTTGATGTCCCAATGGCTCCCTTTGGTTTTGAAAATCACCTCTGACCATGTTGTGCTTTAGAAACGTCATTGTAGGTGGCACAGAGAATAGAGCACTGGGTTTGGAGTCAGGATGACCTGCGTTCAAATTTAGTCTGTGTGTTCCTGGGTAAGTCACTTAACCTCTGCCTTTATTCCTATCTCTTTGACAGTTCCTCTTCTGTCTCCTCTTTTTGGCTTCTCATTTTCCTCTCACTCTTTAAATGTGGGGTCCCAAGGGTGTGGAGGCAAGGGGGAGGAATCTCTACATGCTCTTGGTGATCTCATCCCCTTTCATGGCCCCTGCAGGTGTATATGTAGGTACCCATTGTTCAAGTCTATTGTTTATCTCTGCCTGGCTGTCCTGCTCGGGCCTCAAATTCAACCTGTCTAAAACCAGACTCCTCCTCCCCTCAAATCTTTTCTTCCTCCTTGGCTTTTCTATTTTTGTTGATGATACCATCATCCTGATCGTTCCAGTTACCACAGGTCAATGGTCATTGGAGTCATTTTTGACTTTTCCCGCTCTCTTCCTCACCCTTCATTGACCAGTTTCATTCCATCTTGGCCATATCTTTCAATCTCTCTCCTTTCCATTCCTTCTAGAACTACCAAGTTAAGGCCTTTATTGTTGTTGTTCAGTCGTTTCAGCCATGTCCGACTTTCTGTGACCCCACTTGGGGTTTTCTTGGCAGAGATACTGGACTGGTTTTCCATTTCCTTCTCCAGCTCATTTTATAGATGAGGAAACTGAGGCAAACAGGGTTAAGTGACTTGCCCAGGGTCACATAGCTAGAACGCGTCTGAGGAGGGATTTGAACTCAGGAAGAGGAGTCTTCCTGACTCTAGCCCCAGCGCTCTATCTATCATGGCACCTAGCTGCCAAGCCATAATTTATCCTAATCTATTTGGAATAGTCTCCTAAACAATTTCTGCAGTTCAATGAATTCTTTATAACACTGCCCAGAAGAGATGACAGAAGGAGCTCTGTGATCCACTAAACCAGACTACTCTTCACCCCCATTTCCTGATGGTTTTTTTGCTTTTTCCAATTTAATTGCTTTGGCTTATACTCTCTCCTACGTCTGAAAATGATTCCCCTTCCATATAATTTCATTTTGGATTGCAAAATATGATTAGTTTTTATAAAATGAGTTGATCTGAGAAATTCTATCAGAATCTATTGCTAATTATCAGTCGACACATTAATTTAACACGCAGTTTTTGACTATTAAAAATTATCAAGTTGAGTCCGCAAGCATTTATTAAATGCTTACTGTGTGCCATGAACTATGCCAAGTATTAGGGATTCAAAGGAGAGAGACAGAGAGAGACAGAGACAGAAAAGAAGAAGAAGAAGGAAAAGGTGGAGGAGGAGGGAAGGAGGAAGAGGAGAGAGACACACACACACAGACAGAGACAGAGTCCTTGCTCTCAGGGAGCCCACATTCTAATGGGGGAGACAACATGAAATCTACTTTGTGCAAACAAGATACGCGCAGGATAAACTGGAGATAAAAGGGGAAGCTACTAGTATCAAGGGGAACTGGGAAAGTCTCCTTGTACAAGGTAAGACTTTATTTAGAACTTGAAGGAATCCAGGGAAGCTGGGGATGAAGATGAAGATTGAGAGAGTTCCAGGTATGGAGTGAGTCAGTGAAAATGCTTGGACTCAGGAGATTGAATGCCTTGTGTGAGGAAGTAGCCAGGAGGTCAGTGTCACCAGATCTAAAGTGCATTGTAATGAGTAAGGTGGAAGAAGACTGGAAAGGTAGGGCTGGCCAGGTTGTGAAGGGATTTCAAAGCCACATAGAGGTTATTTATCATATTTGATCCTGGAGATCAGATTTGAGAACAGAGCACATTTTGTATGTGTATGTGTGAATGGATGCCACCAATAGCGTTTCAGAGTCTTGAAATATTAATCCTCAATGGGATACTTGTGGAATGGGTCAAAGTGAAATGACTTACAGTGTTTCTTTAACTAACACCCCTCGGCTTAATGGGATCATTAGAAAGATTATTGACAGAGGTGTTATCTGTTTATGTGGTTGTGTTGATCATTTTATTTCTGTTATTTTAATACCTATTGATGTTGCCATATTTAAATAAAATCAGTCCCCAATTCATAATGTGTTTCTCATAAGTTTCATTGTAAACTTTATAATTACTTATGAAAAGATGGAATATTTATGAGAAGAAAGGCTAATGTCGATTGGTTTTCCATATCATGTAGTATTGACTACTTACAGGTTATGCGTGTTGGTCACATAAGAATTTCCAATTTAGGTTGACAAGGAAGGCCATAATGTTTTATGGTCAACCTCTCAAAACCCTGTTAATTGTACATAAAATCTCTTCAAGATTATCCTAAGTAAACAAATGATACAATCTGTTCTATATTTGAATCTCACTTGTATATAACTACTGCATGTGTATGAATGCCCTCTACTCATTTCTCAAATTCACTCATTTACACTATCATAATACATGAATATATGAAAGAACTATAATTTTTTTTACAGTGTCAGGTAACTCTCTCCACCAATGTAGAATCCAACTTGTTAATGCCTGAGTAAAGAAGTCCTACCAAGTTGCCTGAGGGATCCAGAGGTTAAATAACTTGCCCAGGTTTACGGAAACAGTAAATGTCAGAAGAGGAATCTGGAAGGCCAAGTTCATCCAATATGTCACGCTGCCTCTTCCGTTGTAATGTGACATCCTACATCCACATGTATGATAGATGAAATTTTGTCTCTCACCAAGTTGCCTCTTGAAGGGAGAAGGTTCCTTAAAGGAAAAAAAAAATTTGGACCTGCTTACTCAAAAGCTTAGGAATGTGGAAGTGTGTGTGTGTGTGTGTGTGTGTGTGTAAGTCTAGGGTCTTTGGTCTCTGTTTCACGGCTAATTTCAAGCTTGAACTGCTACACATGAACTATTCTATTCAATGTTAATTGAATTTTTTCTATGTCTTTTGCAGAGACTAAATCAGTCACTTAGTCAATAATCAATTATTAAGTGCTTACTGTGTACTAGGCACTGTGTCAGATCTGCTATGGTGTGACCATAGTTGGGAGAGAGGAAAGCAGTTATGACTTAACAATGAGGAAGGCACTAGACTCTTTCTCACTTACAGAAGTTGCCTACTGGTAGCAGATGGAAGAGGGAAGAGCCTGGGCCTCTGGTTTACTGTATTGTGGTGGTAAAATTATGTTTTAGAAGTGCAAAGAGCACTAAGGTGAGTCAGGGGACCCATCTTTATGACCACTATGATGTGGGGGAATTTTATAATCTCTGTGAGATTCCCTCTTCTCCCCTCTTCCTCATCTGCTGTCACTCGGGTGCTTCTAAACTTCAGGCATCTCAAACCGGATGTCTAGCAGACATCTTAAATTCAACATGTCCAAAACTGAGTGCATCTTCCCTGCTAAACCTTACCCTTACTCCTAGGTTCCCTATTACTGCAGAGGGCAACACCATCCTCCCAGTCCCTCAGGCTCACAATCTAGGAGACATCCTGGATTCCTCACTCTCTCTCACCCACCATGATCAAGGCCTGATAATCTCACCTTTGGAATATCTTTTGAATATCCTCCCTTCTGTCCTCTGACACTGCCATCTCTCTAGTATCATCACATCATCACCTTGTACGTAGACTATCGCAATAGTTTACTGGTGGGTCTGGCTGCCTCAAGTCTCCCCCACTCCAATCCATTCTCCATTCAGACATTAAAGTGAGCTTCCTAAAACACAGGTCCAATCATGTCACCCTTCTCCCCTCTGCCTGGCATTCAAAGTCCTTCATAACCTAGTTCCCTGTTACCTTTCCAGTCTTCTCACACCTTACTCTCTCATTATGTACTCTTTGATCTGGTGACATTGGCCTCCTGGCTGTTCTGCAAACCAGATTCTCTTGGCTCTGGACATTTTCTCTGGCTCTCCACTATGCCTGGAATCCTCCCCTCTGTCTACTCACCTCTCCAACTTCATTTAAGTCAACTAAAATCCCACCTTCTACAAGAAGCCTTTCCTGACCTCTCTTAATTCTAGTGCCTTCCCTCTGTTAATTAATTACTTCCTATTTTTCTTGTATATTGCTTACTTTGCATATATTTGTTTGCATCTTATTTCCCCCATTAGATTGTAAGGTCCTTGACTATAGGAATTATCTTTCGCTTCTTTTTGTATCCCCAGCACTTATTACTAGGCCTGGCACATAGTAGGTGCTTAATAGATATTGATTGAACAATGTAATCTGAGTGCCTTCCTTATTTCTATGCACTGTCTGTGCCCTTGGGGAAAATTATGTGATTTGGGTGGTGAGGCAAATTGCCCGCTTTTAGGCATGGAGTACACCAAAAAGCTTGGTGATGATAATTCCAGGTCACAAGGTCAGTGACAGCTGCATCTTTGGCAATACCTAAGGGCTTCCCTATTTTCCTGAGTCTGCCGGTAGACAAGGTCAAATAGGAATAGAAGGTCTGGGGAAAAAGGCAACTCTACTTGTGTGAAAAACATGTCCTTCCTTTGCTAGAGCACACAGGAATACAGGCTTTTGATTTGGAAGGAGCTTGTGATATTATCTAGTCTACCTCCTTCATTTTACACACAGGGAAACTGAGACCCAGGGGTGGGAAATGACTTATCTAAGGTTACACAGTCAGCAAATGTCCTAACTGGGGTTGAAACCAAATGTTCTTTGCCCTTCACCATATTTCCGTGGGGAGTATATTCGAATATAGGGTAGCTAGGCAATGCCATAGTGCACATAGCACTGGGCCTGGAGGAAGGAAGACTCATCTTGCTGAGTTCAAATCCAGCATCACACGCTTGCTAGCTGTGTGATCCTGGGCAAGTCACTTAACCCCCTGTTAGCCTCAGTTTCCTCATCTGTCAAATTAGCTGGAGAAGGAACTAGCAAACTACTCCAGTATCTTTGCCAAGAAAAACCCAAAATGGGGTCACAAAGAGTCAGACATGACTGAACAACAACAAAATATTTGAATATTCCTTTAAAATAAAAATTATTTGTGGGGAGGGTAGAGAGAAGAGATATACAAGGACCTGTAAGATGTGGCATAAAACTTACTAAAATGCATAGTCTTGTAAGTCAGCTGCAGTAAGCGACTTCATTGAATGCTCCCCACAAAATAATCATGTTTATGCGAAGTGCCAGGTTTTCAGGGAACTTTAAATCAAGTTTCTCAAATGTACATTCTCCAACTCCTTCCCCTCCCCCACCAGGTCCCAGTTGGTGGAAAACAGCCATTATTTATAGATAATGATTCTTTTTTTTGGCATTGCAGATATAAGTTCAAGGTATTTGAGTTGCCATATTGGTTAAATTAAAGTGATGTGCATTTTTTAATGCTTTGCAATGCAGTTGCTGTATCATATTGTAGAAATCATTCTTAAATATCATAGAGTCAGTCTTAACATTCTTTCTAAAGTGTGCCAAGTTTGATTTTTTTTTAAAGGCAGTATTATTAAGGGGAAACAATTATAGGTGGTCACAGGGTGGCTTCTGTCAAACTTTTTGCAGAGTCAGATCTCTTCAATTACTCATGGAAATAGTCTCCAACTTTTCATTGCTGGAAAAGGGAAGAGAGAATAGTTTTTATGCATTTTATGAAATGAGAAACAATAAACCATTTGCAGGTTTCACTGTTACCTAACAAAAGCAGTCTTCTGTTTGTCAAACTGTGGATATTAACTGCAGGAAAGTTGATTTGTCCTTTGGAATTTCCTGCGATCTCTTCTTCCTTATGTAACAGGGGGCTGGTGCCAGTGGGTCTTTCCTCCTGGAGAAGCTGAAGAAATTGCTCCTGGGAAGATAATGGTGATGTATAAGGGAAGTGACTTGGGAAGAGTGTGGAGCACATGTAGAGTGTGGAGCACATGTAGACATTCCGTAACAGGTTCCAGTCTGCTAACCATGTGTTGACAAGAAGGTCATTCCAGGAGCTCTGTGCTTACACCAGACTCCCATTCCACATGTTTCTTGCTACTGGGTCTACAGAAATGTCCATATCCACTGAAGTTCAGTAGATTGTAAGCTTCTGGAAGGCAGGGATCATTTCATTTTTTGTCTGCGTTTGTGTGTTGTTGAGTTGAAATGACTCTGCATCCAAGATGATACCCTAGCTGTCCCTAAAGGCTCCTACCATCAGGAACTATTTTCACGAAGGAATTACCCTGTGACATTGAAGATTATTCTGAATGGGAATGTGTAGGTCTAGGTTTTTTAGTATGTAAAATTTGGACACAACTGTTTGTACTCTTTTAACCCTAACCCTATTAAACTGTAATACATGTGAACCAAATTGAGAGGCAGTGTGGAATAGTGGAGAGAGGGCTGTTTTTGGAAGCAGGAAGACCTGCCTCATATACTTACTGGGTGAACCTGGGCAAGTCATCCACCTCTGATTTTCATTTTTCCCATCTGTAAAATGGAGATAACAATAGCAGTTAATTTCCAGGGCTGTTCCTGGGGATCAAATAAATAATGTAATAGATGTAAAGAATTTTGCAAACTTTCAATTACTATGTGAGTTATTATGTTGTGATATTTTGTCCATCATTCCTATGAGCTCCTTGTTACTAAACAATCTTCCAGATCTATGTGTATTAAAACATTTTATTTGAAGAAATATTCCCTTACCACTACCAAGAGCAGTACATATCTGTGTGCTCCTATATCCTGTCACAGACCAATGAACTAGCTCCCTGGTGAAGGTGGTCTTCTAGGTTTTGGTGGAGAGATTAGAGCTTGTAGAGATGGGAAGTTGGGGGTGGGGCACTAGAACTGCAGAGAAATGTGGTGGTGGGGGAGCAGTGTTATCTCCTTTCCCTCAGGAATCCACCACTTAACAAGATTTAATTAAGTGTCTGCTACAAACATTTATTAGTCATTTTTATGTTTCAGGCACTGAGCTAAACTCCAAGGATAGAAATACAAACAAAAAGATAGCCCTTGCCTTCAGGGTGTTTGCTTTCTAATGGAGGAAGACAAAACATGAAAGGGAGCTGAATAGCTGTGGGTGGGAGAGCGGGAAGGGGAGGAAAGATCCTCCCAGCAGGACATGGAGAAGAATTCTGGACACTCAAAAAAGATATAAAAACAGACTGAAGGTTTTAAATGGCTATCAGAAAAGCTTGTATTTGATTCTAGAAGCAATAAGAAGTCACTGGTACTTCTTGAACAGTGAAGCCACAAAGCATTTATTAAGCACCTGCTGTGTGCCAGGCACTGTGCTAAGGAGAGTAACATAGAGCTATGCTTTAGGAAGAGTATTTTGGTGGTAGTGTGGAGGGTTATTGGAGAAAGGAGAGCCTTGAGGCAGGGAAGCTAATTAGGAGGCATTGCTAGTTTAGGGCAGAGGTTGATGAGGACCTGAACTAAGATAGTGGCTGTATGAATGGAGAGAAGGGGACAGATACAAGAGATGTAATCAACAAGACTTGGAGATTCATTGGATATGAGGGTTTAGGGAGAATGAGGAGTTTAGAGTAACTGCAAGGGAAAAAATTTCCCCCTTAAACACCAGCAAATTCTACATAAACACATATCTAACCCTAGGCTTTCTCTTGCATTTCAATCCCATATGACTAATCTCCTTTTAGACATGATAAAATGACAATAATAATAATAATAATAATAATAACTAGCATTTGCATAGTATATTAAGGTTTGCAAAGCATTTTCCAAGTGTTACCTCGATTATCTTCACAACAACACTAGGAGGTAGGTGTTATTATTATCTCCATTTTATAGATGAGGAAAAAGAGGCAGATAGAGGTGAAGTGATTTGCCCAGGGTTATATAAGTGTCTAGGACTGGATTTGAACTCAGGTCTTTTTGACTTCAGCGATAGCTAGGTAGCGTGGTGGACAGAGTGCTGGGTCTGGAGTTGGGAAGACCTAAGTTCCAATCTAGCTTCAGATACTTACTAGCCATGTGACCCTTGGCAGTCACTTAACCTCTTTTTGTCTTAATCCACTGGATAAGGAATCAGCAAACCACTTCAGTCCCTTTGCCAAGAAAACCCCCTGGACAGTATTGGTGTGCTGTGGTCCACAGGGTCATTGGACACAACAGAATGACTGAACAATGGTTTTCTGACTTTAGGTGAAGAACACTATCTACTATTCCACTTGGCTACTCATCCTGATCTGGATGTCCCGTGGGCATCTCAAATGCAGGATATCTTAAACAGAATTCTCCTCCCCCTCCTCACC